CTGCAAATGTTCCCTTTGATATGAAAGCAGGAGATTTAGAAGTTTTCAGGTCTGGAGCATGAAGGTGTGGTTAACTCATTCTCAGCTGATTTAAATGTTAATAAATCAGCTTAGAGGAGCAATCATTGCTGTTCAAAGACCTTGGAGGTTGTTATGATCTGTGTGTCTTACTTTCTTGTTGTCCACTTTGGTTCAGTTTATGGGTCAGTTTTTTTTTTTTTCAGTTTCTGTCACTCTGATCATATCTTTCATGGTTCTCTCCATTTGATGGTAAATGGTCAATGTCCTGTACTTATCTGGAGCTTTTTCAAGTCAGAGGACTTGACTAAAGCGCTTTAAACTACATTCAGTCATTCAAACTCACACTGATGGTGACAAACTACATTGTAGCCACAGCTGCCCTGGGGCTCACTGACAGAAGCAAGGCTGCTGTACTCTGGCACCACCGGGCCCTCTGACCACCATCAGTCTGATGAGGTTCTTAGTTCTTAGGTTAGGGTTCCACTCTGTTCTTCTCTTTGTGTAATTATTTCTTTTTTCACCTTATTGTGAAGCTTTTGGTCCAGTTTAACCCTTTGGTTTCCCAGTTAGGTCCCTCTTTCTTCATTTCTGTGGTAGGTGGTCATTTTGTATCACTTCCCCTGTTCATTTCCTAGACCTGCTTTGCTTTATTGATCTAATTGTTTAAGTATGAAATAAAAGTCCCTGATTATTAGAATACTGAAATAGAAACAAAGTGTGCTCTGAATCTGTCACCAAAATGCTCTCAGTGACAGAGGCACCAAAAAAAAAAAATTCCGTTGTGAAGAAACACGAAGACAGGAACTCAGTGCAGTGATGTCAGTGTTATAAAAATGTATTCTGATCTCAAGCTGAGATAAAAACTTTGCTCCTATTTCAAACATCTGCATTTTTCTACAGACTGCATTTGCAGCTTGATGTGAAAGGAACAATATTTGACCAAAGCAGAACAACCCATCATTTTGCCTTAAGATCAGGATGGAGAACACCTTATTCAGTCTGCGGTGCTTAATGTGTGAGTAGATCCCTTTCTTTGTATGAAGGATTCAAATGAAGTGAAAATTCTGAAATAAGAAGAACATGATTTGGTCATGTTGTCCTTTTTAAAACTTGCTCTAACTTCTCAACAGTGTTTAAAAAAAATCAAAAAAACTTTTCTCTTTTCACTGAATTTCCTGCTGTGGCCGTCTCCTTTCTGCTTTAAATATTTAATAGTCATACTTTATTTCAGTATTACCAGATTTGATCACATATTTTTAGATCCAGTAGCGCTAATGTGGAGCAATGAAAGTGTTCTTGTACTCAGCGTCTTCCACTTATCTGAGACCTGGTGGTGGGGCAGACTTCCCTCTATCAGACACCTTCAGCTCCTCTGAGGGAAACCTGAGGCGTTTCAGGGCCAATCAAGAAACATCGTCCCTCCAGGGTGTCCTGGGTCTCCTCCTGGTATAACATGCCTGGAACACCTCCTGAGGGAGACGTCCAGAGGGCATCTGAAACAGATGTCCAAGCCACCATAGCTGCAGAGCTCCTCACTTTATCTCTAAGGGAGGGCCTGGCCACCATGTGGAGAGAACTCATTTCAGCTGCTTTGATCTGGATTTTGTTCTGCTGTTCATGATCCAGATTTCATGACAGTAGATCAGGGTAGGAAAGTAAACTGATCTCTGAATCTAGAGCTGTACCTTTTGGCTCAGCCTCACCGTCCGTCTGTGAATATTTAGTAGCGGTGGAGGACGTCTCTATATTTTCTACAGTCAGACACAGAGTCCAGAAGTGGAGTTTCTAAAGGGAAGTTTGAACTTATCAGATAATAAAATATTTACCTAAAACTTATCCTATTCTAATCAGAAAAGAATATTTCAGCGTTACCTTTATTAGCAATATTTGAATTTATTAAGCTAACAACAGAGTAATTCATAGGTTTCATGGTGGGAAAAATAATTATATTAGATTAAATTCATTTGATTTTTATATTATGATCAACTTTCACATTTTATTCCAGTGTTGAACATTCTCCTCTGCTGTGGACAAACTCAATGTAAGACCATCTTTTAATCTTTATGACAAATATAATTAGTATTTTTCTTTATTATAATTTTTATTTAAGTTGTTAATATCTGTTATAAACCAGAACAGATGTGAACTAAATGCTGGTTCTACTGTAGATGCTGTGCTGACAGTTCAGCCCAACTGGTCGATATTTTATCATGGAGAGTCTGTTACTTTCATCTGTGACATGAATGAAGGAGCAGAAACTGACTGGAATTACAGTATAATGTTGAATGGAGGAGAACTTGTCCCCTACAGTTCACATAAAAGCTCCACATTAGAACCTCTCCAAACGGGTGACAGCGGTGAATATCACTGCTGTGGTTCCAGAATCAGCTCACATCAAACCAAGTGCAGTAATACTATCTCTATAACTGTTTCAGGTAAGCCTCCAATTTTCTAAAAAATAAATTGTACATTTAAAAAATAAGGATGAATTAAATGTTTTTTTACATTTTCACTTTTCCAACAAGCACATTACTTTTCACTTTGAATTTTTAAGGTTTTTTAGTACAAAATCAACTTTTTTTTTTCTGTTTTTCATAACATCAGATAGACCCAGAGCCAAACTGACAGCAGGTCCATCAACCATACCAGTAGGGGGCAGTGTGACAATGAGCTGCACTGTGGAGCCCTCTGCTGGATGGAGGTACAGATGGTTCAGAAGGACCTCAGACACCTCTGGAGTTGAAGTCAGAACAAATAAGGATGAAAACAGAGAAATCACTGTGAGACAAGGAGGAATCTACAGATGTGTTGGTATAAGAGGAAACCCAGATATCTACAGATATTCAAGCTCTGAGGTCACTGTTCGGATAACCTGTGAGTTTGCTGATGAAAACTATCAGCAACTATATCTACTAAATCAAATATTTTCATCTTTCTTAGTTTAATCACAATAACCTGTAATCATTACAATCTATTTTTCTAATTTAACTTCGTTCTCTATGTTACAGTATTTATTATGTTTCTTTTTCTCTCTGGAAACAGTTTCCAACAAGGTTGTTGTGACTCAAAAACCAAACAGCTCTCAGATGTTCAGTGGTGAGAAGATCACTCTGACATGTGAGGTCCAGGGAGGAGAAAGCACTGAGTGGACGTATGAATGGAGGAGATCTGGTTCTGTTATACACATCACACCCAGTAAAGACTGGACTTTTAATGTTTCTGAGTCCAGCAGTGGAAAATACATATGTCAGTGTAGAAGCAGAGATGACTGGTATTCTTCAACAGAGTGGAGTGAATCAATCATCCTGTCAGTATCTGGTAAGTCAGGTTTGTTTTGATCTAAGAGGCTGAAGCCAAACTAAACTAAACAGCTGTTTGCTGCAGGGGGAGGTTGGACAACTGGTCTATAGAACACATTTGACCTTTAAAGATGAATCTTAGTATAAACTGTAGAAAATAAAACAAAACATAAAACAGTACAGATAAAATAACAGCTAAAACATGGGTAAGATAAAAAATAAAACAATAACAGAAGTTATTGAGGGATATCTGACTTGTTCAGAGTCTATGGTGATGTGGTTTAAGTCTGTGACTCTTATGCAGTAGACCTGAGATCAAATCCTGGTTGTGTCATCAAGGCCATCTGGTGTAAAAACTTTGCCATGTCTGTCAGCTAGTTGTATGACTTGATGTGGCAGCCCCTGAATAAGGAGCAGCTGAAAGGACACAAACATACGACATGTTACAGTCTGGTGTGTCCAACAGAAATCTGCAGCTGATTCAGTCCATTAAAATGAGCTGTCAGCATTAAGGGGTGCTGCTGTCCACAGTCTCTGAGACAGATCAACTGTCCAGATCCCCTCTTATTCACATTTCTACAGGATCCCAGTAGGACCACACCCCCAACACACTATTCAGACTCAACCCTCTGTTACATAATTACTACTCTGAATGGTTGATGTGCTGAATTCTTACAACTTGCACTGCTCTGTTTCTGTTTACATACTTTAGAGGTTTTTAGTTTTATTAACAAGTTGACATCATGTCATTTAATGTTATTGAACTATTTGCTCTGTCATCAGCTGGTGAGAAACAACAATCATTTAGGACTTTATAAATATGTGAATAAAATGTCTGTTTTAGAATATCTTGGATCTCGACTAAGATAATCTTAATGTGAGCTGGACCGAACCTTGTGGGTCCAGTTCTTTGTCCTCAGAGCAGAAAATCAGGAGCTAAAATTCATTTAATGTCCCAAAAGTTCAATACTTCAACTTTTGTTTTATAAAACAGTAGGCTGGGGTGGTTGTTCACTCTATGGTTGATACTCTGCACCACTCCCTCAATAAGTCATAATAAACAGAATCTAGATTATTGATTTATTTTCAATATTCCATCAGTCTATATAGTTTCATTTCTCTGCTTCAGAGTTTTTACGTATATTTTATAGAAACAAACACTAACAATTAAGAAGCTTAAATGTTGAATTTAAAATTTATCAATTATTGTTTTTGTTAACAGCAGATAAACCCAGAGCCACACTGACAGCAGGTCCAACAGTCATACCATTAGGAGGCCATGTGATACTGAGCTGCTCTGTACAGACCTCTGCTGGTTGGAAATACAGATGGTTCAGTCGAACCTCAGACACCTCTGAAGTTCAAATAGGAATAAATAAGAAAGAAAGCAAAAAAATCACTGTGAGACAAGGAGGAATCTACAGGTGTGAAGGAGTGAGAGGAAACCCAGACTTCATCACATATTCAAGCTCTGAGGTCACTGTGGAGATAACCTGTGAGTTTGTTGATGAAAACTATGAGCAACTAAATCTACTAAATCAAATATTTTCATCTTTCTTAGTTTAATCACAATAACCTGTAATCATTAAAATCTGTTTTCCTAATTTAAACTCCATTCTCTGTGTTACAGTATTTATTATGTTTCTTTTTCTTTTGGAAACAGTTTCCAACAAGGTTTTTATGACTCAAAAACCAAACAGCTCTCAGATGTTCAGTGGTGAGACGATCACTCTGACATGTGAGGTCCGGGGAGGAGAAAGCACTGAGTGGACGTATGAATGGAGGAGATCTGGTTCTGTTATACACAGCACACCCAGTAAAGACTGGACTTTTAATGTTTCTGAGTCCAGCAGTGGAAAATACACATGTCAGTGTAGAAGCAGAGATGACTGGTATTCTTCAACAGAGTGGAGTGAATCAATCATCCTGTCAGTATCTGGTAAGTCAGGTTTGTTTTGATCTAAGAGGCTGAAGCCAAACTAAACTAAACAGCTGTTTGCTGCAGGGGGAGGTTGGACAACTGGTCTATGGAACACATTTGACCTTTAATCTGTATTGCTGTTTTGGTAAAAACAGCAATACAGTTTATATCATGTATAAATCATACTATAAAAAATATCTTGTTATTTACATTATATCTGGTTACAGTTGTCACTGATAGAGAACATCAGTCTGGTTGCTTCCATTCAGTTATCAAAAGATTATTTAAAAAAATTAATTATTTGATGTGCTGAAGGGTTACAATGTGTTAAATTTTTTAATATTTTCTTGAACAATAGACAAGTCATATATTGTTATTAAAATATTTGCTCAGTCATCAGCTGATGAGAGACAATATGTAGTTTAGGACTTTATAATGTGTGAATAAAATAACTGAAATATTTTGGATCTTCACAAAGGTAACCTTAAAGGAGTCATAACCTGGTTTTATTGGTTGATAGACCTACATTATATGGAACTTAGGTGGGAACAATCACTATAGAGTGTCGAATCAGGACACTGTAGGGATGTTCAGGTGTTTGCAGTGTTAGGTTTATTCTTTTATACATGATGTGCATTGTTATTTTGTTAGCCAGATTAGACAGAGTAGAAGGCCTTCCTTCACATTGTGAATGTCACTGTGTGTACGGAGGTCATCTAATCAGGACAGCCTTCGTGTCTTTAAGAGTACACAGGATATGGACACATCTTGGGGCCGGTCTGATAGAGGATAGCTATCTGTAACCCTGAAGCATAGAAGCAAGCTGCATGAAGTTCATGACATGGACGCCGTGTCAGTTTCTGATACAGCCAGCTCAACATCAACCAGTGTTGCCAACTCAGCGACTTTGTCGCTATATTTAGCGACTTTTCAGACCCCTCCAGCGACTCTTTTTCAAAAAAGTGACTGGCGACAAATCTAGCGACTTTTCTGGTGTCTGCCGTGGGGCGCCTCCCCCCGTCCCAACCCCGTTCTCCCACTTCCGCAGTAGTCCCTCTCAGCGCTACAGTCAGATACACAGCATGTTTACCCCCAGCGTCCAGACAGCAAATGAACCGCACGCATGCGCCGGGTTTGACGACACAGGTTGATCACTCTGGAGTCAGCTCCCTCAGTTGCTGAACCTGCCATAGAGAGCCTTGACCAACATGACCATGGTCCACTCTTTCTGTGAGCAGGCAAGCACAGCCTGTATGTGTGCAGGGAATTCTTATTAGTTAAAAAAAAAAAAAAACAATAATTACCATTTGCTCACATTGTCTTTGATTCTTTATAGTCTTTTTTTCCCATTTAAATTGTTAATGTAATGTAAAAAAAATGTTCATGTTTTAGCATGATTTTTAAGGTCCTTAGTGGACCACAAGGGAAAAAAAAAAAGTTAAATAAAAAAAAGTTGAAAAAATATATATATATATATAATATGCAAATTAGGCAATGACGTCATTCAGCGACTTCTAGCAACTTATAGCACATCCAATAGCTACTTTCCTTACTGAGGAGTTGGCAACACTGACATCAACATGATGCAACACATAGACCCATGAGCTATAAGAAGCAGGAGATGACCTTGTTCGGGGCTCAAACTTTGCCGGACGCTCGCAGACGTGATTTTTGAGACCACAGCTGTGCAAGCTCCAAGCATTTTTCTCTGTCCTGTAACGACCTGATCTGGAATAAACTCTGTAATTTTTTACTCCTGTTTTTATAGTCCTTTTAATATGGTTTTACCCAGTTTGAGTTAAGAGTAGTAAATAACTTGCTCCTGTCATGATTGGCTTAAGAGACTTAACCCACATGCAGAACACCACTGGAAGCAGAGTGAAGTTTAACAGAGTTTATTGAAAGGCTTCACAGAGAAAACATGAACTGGTTCTGGCCCAGGTCCGGGACTGGAATCACTGATGTCTGCAGAGATGGATAGTTTGATTAGCCAGGCAGTCTGATGGTTTGTCGAGAGAGTTAATTCTGAATATACCCTTGAAGAGGTTCTGACAGATCCTTTGTGAGGGAGGGAACCGCTTGGGTCCAGAGACTGTAGGTTCAGCAGAGAGCTCAGCAGCAGCAGTGTCTAGCTTCTGGCTTGTGAGTTTCAGACCTTGACTTGAGTTTCTAGCTCTCCCTTGAGAGCAGTTGGTGAAGTCCAGACTGAAATTTTCAGGTTTGGCTTCCTAGGGCAGGCAGGCAGGGTTTCAGGCAAAGCTTATCCAGAGCTTCAGACTTCAGTCGGGTTTTCTGTGAGCAAGAAGACAGAGGCAGGTTAGAATCAAGTTTCTCTCTAGAGGCAACTAAGATTCTTTAAGATTAACAGAGGCTCAGGTTTGCTAACCAAACTTGGTCAACACTGCGGCGTTGAAGGAAGGTCTGACTGCTGCTTATGAAGGAGGTCTCCTGATGGGCTGATGATCCTCAGGTGTGCTGAGGGCTCCAGCCCAGGAGACCCAGAGCGCTCTCTGCTGGAGAAAGGTGGTAGATCTCCAGATCCCAACAGTACCCCCCCTCAACGACCACCTCTTGGCGGTCCCGAGGACGTGGACGGGAGGGACTTCTCGTAATCCTCGATGAGAGACGGATTGAGGATAAAAGAGCCAGGAACCCAGGTGCGGTCCTCCGGACCGTAGCCCTCCCAGTCGACGAGGTACTGCCAGCCGCGACCTCGCCGACGGGAGTCCACGATCCGGTGAACTGTGAAGGCCGGATGGCCATCAATGTCCAGGGCTGGTGGAGGGGAGTTGGAAGGTGGGCACAAAGATCTGGAAATGACCGGTTTGGATGCGTAGGATGCCCAGAAGGTGGATGGAGTGTGGTTTTGTTTCTGGCACAGATGGGACAAGCCAGCATGTACTCCTTCACGTCCTTGTGGGTGTCGTGGGTGAGCGGTTAGGGTGTCAGACTTGGATCCCAAAGCTTACCGGTTCGACTCCCGAGTAATTAACCAGCGCTCTCCCCCATCCTCCTCCATGACTGAGGTACCCTGAGCATGGTACCGTCCTGCCACACTGCTCCCTTGGGGTGCCATTGAGGGCTGCCCCCTTGCACGGGTGAGGCATAAATGCAATTTCATGGTGTGCAGTGTTCACTTGTGTGTGCTGTGTCACAATGACAATGGGCCAACAAAAGCGTCTCGTAATGAGTGCGATTGTTCTGCTCACACCAGGATGGGCTGAGAACTTTGCTGCGTGCATCCACTGGATGAGGCGGGATCTAACAGAAGATGGAACATAGGTTTTGTTTGGAGGTCCGTTACCTGGGTCAGGTTCAGAGGCCAGGGCGTTTAATGGCAAGGAGTTTTCTGGTCGGAGTCTGATTGTTGCGACAATACAGCTCCTACACCGGAGTCAGATGCGTCCACTTCTAAGACAAACTGCTTAGAGGGGTCGGGCTGGATCAGGATGGGTGCGCTGGAAAACAGAGTCTTAAGCTTGTTAAAAGCAGTTTCAGCTTCAGGTGTCCAATGAAAAGTCTTCTTCACAGAAGTCAGGGCTGTGAGGGGTAGAGCAGTCTGACTATAATTTGATGAAGCGTCTGTAGAAATTTGCAAACCCCAGAAACCTTTGAAGCTGCTTACGGTTTTCAGGTGTCGGCCAGTCCAGAACTGCCTTTATTTTGTCTTCGGATGGCTTCACCTGCCCGCCCTCGAGCACAAACCCTACAAATGTGACAGATGGTTGGTGAAATTCAAATTTTTCAGCCTTAACAAAGAGTTTGTTTTCCAGCAGTCTCTGAAGGACCAGACGAACATGTTTCTTGTGATCAGAGAGGTTCTTAGAGTAGATCAAAATATCATCAATGTATACGAAAACAAAAACATTCAAAAAGTCTCTGAGGACGTCGTTGACTGAGGCATGGAAACAGGCAGGAGCGTTAGTAAGACCAAAAGGCATGACCAAGTACTCAAATTGGCCTATGGGGGTCTTAAAAGCTGTCTTCCATTCATCTCCTTCCCTTATTCTAAGGAGATGATAGGCGTTTCTTAAATCGAGTTTGGTTAACACTGTCGCACCTTGAACAGGTTCAAAAGCTGATGCCAGTAGTGGTAGGGGATACTTATTTTTGACAGTTATCTGATTCAAACCTCTGTAGTCAATACAGGGTCGGAGGGAACCGTCCTTCTTTCCCACAAAAAATAAACCAGCACCGAGAGGAGATGAAGATGGACGAATAATTCCAGCAGCTAGAGACTCATTGATATATTTCTCCATTGTTTCACATTCTGGTTTGGAGATGTTAAATAGTCTACTGCTGGGGAGGGGGGCTCCTGGTAATAAGTCAATGCCGCAGTCGTATGGTCTGTGAGGTGGAAGAGACGTCGCACTGACCTTACTGAAGACTGGTGCCAGATCATGATACTCGAAGGGAACAGAAGTAAGGTCAGGAGAGTCCATCTCCCCCCTACCTCTAGGGGACTGAATAGCAGGAGCCGCAGAACGAAGACATGACACATGACAGGAAGTAGACCAAGACTCAATATGGCGTTCAGCCCAGTTGATATGGGGGTTGTGATGTTCCAACCACTCAAATCCAAGCACCAGGGGAGAACATGCTGAGGGAAAAACAAAAAATGTTAGGGTCTCACGATGGTTTCCAGTAATAAGAAGCTCTAATGGTTGAGTCTGATGAGTGACTTGGTGTAGCTTTTTTCCATCAATAGCAGAAACTCTGAGAGGCTTTATCAATGGAATAGTCTCAATTCTCAGCTGCTGAACCAGATCTGAATGAATGAGGTTTCTCTAACAACCAGAGTCGATGAAGGCTGACAATGTGAGAGACTGGTTAGAAACAAATAAAGTTGCAGGTAACAATAAATGAGGAGATTTTTCAGTTCTTAAATTGGCCCGTCAGACTCCTCACATGCTCTGACGTACCCTGGCCTTTGAATTAGCCGGGCATGAAGCAATGAAATGGCCAGTCTCACCACAGTACAGACACAGTTTTCCCTTGAATCTTCGTTGTCTTTCTTC